TTACGAGCTCTCCAGGTGATCCAGGAGTTACTTAAGAGCAGTTGTCATCACAGCGTAAGATATGATATACCATTACAGTCTAAAATAATAAATGATATATCAACTATGATCTCATACACAATCATGTTTCAAGTACGTCTCACAAAAGAAAAACTCAGTATTTTCAATTATTATAATATTAAAACAAACCAATCATGAACTTCTTTCCTTTTGAAAAAGTTAACACTGTAAACGTGCTTCCTCTTCCAGTTTGCAGATCCCTTTTCACTTCCTATTAACATAATCACATTTTAACCTTTTTCTAAAAATGTAATTAGAAGTCTTCAAGTTGGGAAGAATACACAACAGCAGGGTAACCAGGAAAAAGGGAGAAATTTTCAAATTTTGTGACAATTAAAATTTTTACATGACCAAATATTACTTTTATAACAAACTGATATATAAAAATCAAATCTATTAGCTAGAATTACTGCAGCAAGAAGTTGAAACTAAAGTTGCACAAGTATTACAAAAAAGGCTGAGCTATTACAGGGCTCTAATTTCCTCTTACCATAGACCTAATATAAAGCTAAATGTTTGCAATATCAGCACGTATATTAAATATTTCTTATCAAATCTGCTGATAGAGAAACAGCCTCAGAAATTTCAACTAAGAATAGCAATGCAATACATTAAAGTGACTATAAAACCACTGGGAAAAGATCTAGTCTTGGCTTACTACAAATTTGGCCCAAAAAGGAGACGTTAAAAGCCTGATTGATTACAAATTTCTGCCACAGCCAAGTGTCTACTAAGATAACTTACCAGTGGAAAATTACTTAATCACAATTTGTGTGTAGAATGTTTCAGGTGTGTATATTGCAACAGGAAGCAGATCATTTTAAGAAATTTTACAAAAACATTTACAACATATTGAGCTTATGTGTCTACTTCCAATCAAATATCCCTCCGTAAAGTGAATACTGACAACGCTTGACAGAATTTTAAAATCTAAACATTCTCCATTATTAAACACTAAGGCCACCATTTCCAAGTTTTAAATGCTGTTTTTCAAAAAAGTCAAATGGCTAATATTAAGTACTAACCATGTGTCAGATGGTGTTATATATTTCTGTCACCCATCTTGGTATTCCTAGCACAGGTCCAACTGTATAAAGTACATTTAGTTGGAATTTATGAGGGGGAAAAAAAGGAATGAGTATTAAGTTCTTTGAGTGGATTCAGATATATCTTTAAAAAGTCCCAGAGGTTACAAATTTGTTTTAGGAAACATGACAAATACATGAAAAACTAAAAAAAAACTATGACAATTAAAAATACCATGTGTCAGGATATGATTATTTGCAAAGTTAGTGGCCAAGGGAGTGAAATAAATTCTGACCACAGTGAGTGAGCATATTCAGACCGCGGTCCTCCAGGTCTCCAGACCCCACGGCAACACTGTATTTCGATTTAAAAAAAGAAAGTGACACAGCACTCGTCCCACCCTAAAATTGCCATCAGAGGAAGGAATACAATAATTAAAGAGAATGATACAAAGAAACTTCCACACAAGGCTTTCCAAGCATATGGTAGTCCTGAAGTTAGAGCATTCCACGCACACAACAGTTTACGCACCCCGAGCTCTCCACGGGCTCCTGAAATACAAGTCTCCCGGGAACAGCATCCCCCCACCAGTTCCTCCTCCGCCCCCCACGAAGCTTTCCACTGGACAGCGCCCCAGAAATTTCTCCCAGCATCCGCAGTGACAATACTCTCATCTTCCCCGCCCTGCCCTCGCCGGTATCAGACCGCGGCATCTCCCTCCAGGGGAAAAAACGGAGGGCGGGGGAGAGAGCTCGCGGCGAGGTCG